TTAACGAAATCAAATTAGTTATCAGAGAAAATGACGTGGAGTGAGGTTGTGCGAAACAATTCTGAAGTCGCGAAGTGTTATTGGACAGGAATAAAGTCTCAAGGCCAATGACAATGGCACCGGACTACCAGCCTGATTGAAGTCAGGAACGATTCATTAACGGGAACAACCATTTCTTGGCTTTACGACAAACGTTTGCGAAATGTCCCCGAAAACTACAATTTAAAACACTGCGTTTCCTGCACGACACTTCTGTCAATTCTACAAGTGAATTCATCCGCAAAAATAGCGCGTATAATATTAGTCTTTTTTCTTTACAAAATCAAAATTGTTGAAACTAGAACTATCTCTATTTGATTTTGAAGTTGCCCGTCGTCCAGGTGCCGAAAATGCGGTCAGACGCATTGTCAAGAATTTGTGCTAACAACACCTGTTGCACAAAGTCAGTCAGGGCGAATATTGAATTGAATTGAAATCACGATCTGTAACTTGTTTGTCGCAATGACGACAAAGCTTTTTCGGCGATTGAATTTTTGTTCGCCTATTTCATCCTTCCAATCTGTACGGAAAATCTGATATCCTTCAAAATCCTCTCATTGGTTGAAGCAGGAAATCCGGGAGCAGGATCAGTTCGTATAACTGCAAATAGCCAGTCTAATGGACGCATGTCAAAACCGAGTTTTAAAAAAGGATGACGCAAAGAAATCGCCCGCTCATTCTCTATAATACAGACTTTGGTGTATGACTCTAAACAGATTCTCTCAACACGAAAATATGTTATTTGTTCAATCGAAAAACGTCGGCGGCAACTTCAATTCCAATATTGCAGGAGGGAGGGTCATTAAATGATTGGGGAATTAAGGAAGAAGGAAATTTTTTCCATGGCGCGCACTAGTGACATGATCCTGATCACCTTTGATTTGAATCGTTAACTAAAACCAACTTCTCATCGCTTTTGACAAAGCAGACACAGGCATTATATGACATCATAAGTCTCGTCTGCAAGTTTGCAGATTTTATCAGATAAGTTTCCGGTGAATAATTGGAATACAATACGATAGCGAAAGTTTTTTCCTGTTAATTCTCCAATTCTGGTCAAAAGATAACCGGGTTAGAAAAGAGAAAATCATGATATATATTTGTAGCCGCAGTTTAGCAAAAATAACTACATGAAAGATAGCTAGACCTAGAAACTGTCGACAAATTTGCTCAAATTTCATATCCAACATTTTATGGTGATAGTTGAGGGTAGTGCTGGAAATCACAAAAAGTTTCAGTTTCATTTTTGTTCAAGGGATTCTTAAAGAAAATATAGCCCAAACTATTTGGGCGACAGCAAAATTTGGCCCAAATATTTTCGACGCCTAAATACAGCTAAAATAATCTCGTATTGTCGACCAAATCGATAAGAGTTTGTTTGCTCGAATTTCATATCCAACATTTTATGGTAATAGTTGAGGGTAATGTTGGAAATCACAAAAAGTTTCAGACTTTTTGCTCAAGGGATTCTTAAAGGAAATAAAGCCCAAACTATTTGGGCAACAGCAAAATGTGGCCCAAATATTTTCGACGCCCAATTACAGCGAAAATATCCCCGTGTTGTCGACCAAATCGATAATATATATATATATATTCACATTAATACAAAAAATATGCCGTATTTGACGTAGTTGTAAAATTTTGGACCGACTCGAAATGATTCATCCACCAACATTGAGCTCGGCTTTGCGACATCAAAACCATGATCAGCCATGCAAGCTTCTATATAGTTTAATACAGGTAAGTGTATATCTTTACCTAAACGATTCGTAATCGTAAAAGAGTAAATATTTTTTATTTTTTCAATCGAAGATAGCTTCACAAATAAAAGTTCGGCACAAACAATAAGGATAAAAGTAGTGATTCAATTCAAGAATTTCATCGTTGTCGTTCTATTTCGGTAAATTTAAATGCTTGTAAATCATGCATTTATTAGAATAACATAACAAATAGTCGACTGTAGTTATACATTCACTATTACCTTCACTGTTGCAACAGAACGACGATCACTTCGAATCTGACCGGAATGCTCAAACATTTTGTTGAATAATATTTTCCAAATATAGAATCTCTTATCAATTTAGTGGATATTGTTCACACATATAGCTGTTTTTAGTCACTGTAATGATCCAGGCTTTGCAAGTTAATTCTCTTATATTGTCTTTTCAAATACTGAAGAACAGTAACGGGTTCAGTGGTGCATTGAAAAGCCTTTTTGTGTGAAAAAAGATCTTTGTTTTCGTATTGTATCTCGGATAATAAAACATCGTTATTAGCTTGCACAAAGTAAGCAATTGATCTTCTTTCGATGTTCTCTTTGTTTGTTTTGGGCATCAGTATTCTGTGTTCCTGCAATATATGTGCAGTTTGTTTTTAAGCAAGGACGAATTGAGAGTAATCAAACAATAGGGGAAATGACAAAAAGAAGTTATGAATTGCACCTCACATGAGTTGCGTTTATTAACACCCAACAATTTTATAATGCATTATATTTCATATACTCAATATAAATCTTTAATAATGTATTTGATATAAGATAACATAGAATGCCTTGCCACCACCTCTTCAAACAAGTTTGTTCAGTAGATTTTTGGCCATTGTGAATGAATACTGCAACAAGCGTAACAAGACAGCTTGCCTTACTTTGGAATTACAAATTGTATAGCAACGAGTCAGTGGCGTAGCAAGACTATCGTGGGCCCCCCCGCAAAAATATTTCGTCAAAAAGCATAACATGTCGCCATAAAAAGGCTAAATATTGCGCTTTCGTGTTAGCAAACTCATCCATCATCTTCGTCATATCAATTTTTTCAATTTGCTTCAAAAATCAGTAGCTTAACTGTGATAATTGTCGTGTAAGTTTTGGAGGGAAATTCATTCACGCCGGCGCCATCACTTTTGGAGATTGAACACGCATCTGGTTTTCTTCCGATACCACCGGTGCTAGGCTTAATTCCTCCTCAGTTACGTTCGGTATTCCCAAGTCTAATTGTTTCGATTTTGGTTTAAATATTTCGTTTATCTTGGTTACTTAAATAATTTTTTTTCATACGTTCTTCCCCTTCTGCTCTTTTTCTTCGTTGCTGTGAGCCACTGAGAGTTTTTGCTTACGACATCATCCTGACAGCCTTCGTAATTGTGCCGGTGCGATCAACCACACGACGCCAAAAATCGACGACTCCGGCATTGTTACGTAACAAAACGATTTGAGCAGAACTAACATCAAATAAGACGTGCATTAATACTTTTGCAATGCAGCTTTTGGTTTTGCGGCCTAAATTTCTAAATTTTAACCGCTTGGGGCCCCTTTTAACTGTGCCCCCCGCGACCGCTGCTACTCCACTGCAACGAGTGCTAATATGTGAATGTGATATTTTATACATTTTCAATATATTACCGTTGATTTGAGTCTCTCTCGTGTCCAAAATTGCAAAGCGTCTCCGATGTTTACCAAAGCTGTTCCCGGTATAGGTGTGGCATCCACGTATTCCCCATTGCTGGCCTTTACCTATTTATTTTATACCATCCGTTCATATAAATTCAAAATTGTTTATGACCTATTTTTCTAATTTTAAATGGAATTGTGAACCAAAAAACACACACACGAGGAAATATTTATACTAAACCTGCAGTCCACCAACTTTATCTTGGAACAAAATAGTAAAAGACCCAAAATCGGTATGTTCACCAAGACGAACTTGATCTGGTTCGAACAAACACTTGTCGGGTATGCGTGGATAGTAATGTGTTCTGAGTGTCGTTAAATTCCCTTTTTCGTTCATTCGAGAATGACATTCAATCAAGTACTTTTCATCCTGCGTTAATAAAATTTAAAAACAAAGTAATTACGTACGCAAATGGACGGGATTAATAAAGTAATATTGCGTATACAGTAAAAGTAATATCTCCCCCAGATTTTAGGAGCCGTAAACGTACTTACGGTCGAACAACCATACTGTCTATGGGTATTTTATGCACACGTGTAGTGGCGGGATTTCGCGATATGGTTAATAACGTGCCATACATATACTACCAAGAATATGCATATTTCGCCAACTCATATACATATACAGCCAACCAAATATATATATACTTCCAAAGTCATAGCCAAGTCAATATACAAATACATATATTTGGGTGATGTACAAATACTGCCAGATCATTTCATAAGAATGCAATGTATGTATATGCGGTTGCATCTACGGGGATATGTCGGATTCCTTGGGGTACTGTTCAGGATGTGTAAAGTTCAGATTTATTGTGACGGAGTTTAGACAGCAGCAGGACAGTATATGATAAAAACAGTCCCAGTTCCAACATAAAATGGAAGCTGAAAGTAGGTTTGAATGCGACGACACATAGCTTTAAAGTTATTGGGCACGTTAGTGGACATAACGATCGTTTTGCATTTTATGCTGGCACTCCTCTTGTTCTTATTTGTATTCTTCTTGGTATCGTTATGAAAAAATCGCTTTTCCCATTGATTACTGGACCATTTGCAAATTTTCAGTGAGTAAAGATTATGTTTGCCTCTAGAAGGCTATAACTTATTTATTTCAAATATTCCGGTGAGCTGCATGGGATTCGTTTTTTTGTTTGCAATGACGTCATCCGAATTAGCCACTACCTGGCGCTACGTGTCCATATATTTGAGCATAGCTCTCTTGTTAATGTCATTATCGTTTAATATACGAAAATTGGAAATTGGAAACTGTAGTTTGTTGAACTCATCTCCTTCAGCGTTTTCATCGACACAACCCCAATTCAAATCACGTTGCCAATTATACCTTTACTCGTGAATGAAATGTATACGCTGAGTAGATAAATTATACTTTTTATTATTTTTGCCGTGAGGCGCTGTGGCACTCTGAGCAAGAGTGCATATTTGCTTTGAGAGGTCATAAAGTGTAGAGCTAACCAATTGGTACCAAAATATATAAAATGTTATAATTACCCTGAGACCCAATCCCAGTGAAATTGCACTCAATATCCGAGTGGACAAGAAACGACAAATATTTGCAAATTCCTTCATGACATAAGAAAATCCAGCAACCTCTTTGTCTGGCCAAATTCCCCCTCCAGGTACGCATGCAGATCCAGGAACATCGAAACCTTCTTTGAAGTCTGCTGGTCATTGAGCGGAATTTCTGAAGTGAAAACGAATTCAATGAGAACTATTTACAACACGATTATACATGTTTTATTGAAGAAACTAGACAGCCTGAATCTGGTGTCATGAATGACAAGTATATAACTATACCGACGTAGATTGAAACACCAATGTTATTGAAAAGAATTAGCAAACCGGCTTATGCAAGAATTCATAGAAACAAGTTACACAAAAACATTTATGTTCAAACATTCCCTCGTTATTAGCTTGACAGTAATTACGGCCCTGTTCATATACAATCAATAACGATCAACATTTGCTGTATAAATCGTCAACCATAATATTTGTGATTGGAATGTGTTAACAGAATGCTTCCGATGATTGCCTTCCTCATATACTAGGCAGGTTCACCAACCATGGCCACAGAAAACATAGTAGAATATGGCGTGAATCATTGACTTCCCGAGTTCAATACCCGTTGTACCTTTCTACTCCCACCCCGATGTAACCAAAGCAATCTTTATTGATGTTGTACTCTTTCTTCTTTTCAATGGGCAGATCAAAAAACTGTTTTGCAGATTTATACACTTTCTCGAGATCATTCCTGCAAGGAATAATAAAAAATAAATTAGGTTTTATACCATTTAACTTTTTTTGTACACAATGAATCGATCAATGTTCTGTCGCTGCCGAGAGGTGAAGTTTCAACTTACTCTGATACACCAGTATCTTTCAGATAGACGAAACCGGCCGAGTGGAAAGCTTTTACAATAGAATCTCCAACATATTTCAAGTCTTTCGGTGATACATTTTTGTTTCGAATCGCACAACTGGCAAAGTCTATTACAGGTAACTTCATTTCTGAACTAATAAATACATTGTGTTAGAAATCTTTTTTCGTACAATAGCAAACTTTAATATCAAACATACATAGAACACAGCTTACTGTTTTTTAAATATATTGGTTTCGCCATAGTCATACACATTACATTAACACCATGTTACTTATCAGATGGTACACGATATAAACTATTTAATTTTCGATGGATAGCCAAATACTGGGAGTGAAAAATATTTTCCTGGAGTCGTGTGCCTCCCTTTGTGGGATTTTCAATTTCAAGCGCGCCAAGGGTTTATTTTTAGCACGAAAAAGGCCTTTGAAAACGTTCGCAATCTTGTCTCGAGCTTGTTAAGTTCATATTGACGGATATTTTTTAAATTATTGAAATTGTTCGTACTCTCGTAATACTCGTACTAATATAATTTGATTGTTTTTGTAGACAAGTATATCTATAACTAACGGTCATATAGTTACTGATTTATGAAACAGATGCTCACAGAAAACAGCTAGTAAAATTTCTTATCAACAAGTCTTTGAACTAAACCAGTTGAATAAACTGTAATCATATTCAGCATAGCTTGTTAAACTTTTACATCACTCTACTCAATGACTTCAGGGGTGGCCAACCTGCTTTCGCCCGCGATCGACTAAACTAAACTCTTCAAAATAGCTCGCGGTCGACTGATCGGTAATAAGGTCATACACAAAAACGAAGGAGTACTGAATATGCTCATAATTGCACACACGCATACAAAAACGCCCACCGCTACCAATAAGCCTGGCTCAGTGGGCGCATTTCTAATGAAATCGCCACAAAAATTTGTATTTTCATGTTTCACCTACTTTACAAATTTAATTATTTAATTGTACCCGGAGTACTACTATGCTAAGGCCAGACTAAATTTTAGTCGTAGGTGTTGAAATTTCCATAAAACATCTTACCAAGTATGCATGTATTGTCTAAACAGCGAAAAAGAAATATTCTCAAACTATAAATGTTATTCTCAAACTTTAGTAGGCATATATATCTAATTTACTATTTCCTCCGAGTCCGATTCGTCGCTCGCTTGGAAAAATTGGGCATTCTGATGACACTGCTACCGTTCAAATACACTTTATCACACGACTGCAGAAGTTATTGTAGGATCGTTTCTTAGTCAAGACAGGGTGTCTCAAAAATGTCGTGTCTCACGTGGGACAAGTGGGACACGACATTTTTAAGACACCAGTCAAGGCCTCGATATTCGGCACGTTCATTTTTAAAGCTTGGCAGTGGCGAAACTTTCATCTGTTACATAATAATATGCTCTATTGGGCTTGCGCAGACTCAAATACTGTATGTGCAGTGATTCAATAGTCTCGCTGCACGCTAACACAAATATATTTCTGTAACGTCTCGTCTGACCAAGGTCAGACTTAAACATACATACTATGCAGGATACTATCTTCACTCTTGCTACAGCATCATTTCCTTGCATTATATGCGTACCGATCCACCGACGCAAAAGCATAGAAGACGGAGGAGTAGTTAGTCTTACAGAAACCCAATCGATAGCTCCGTATGTGTATATCGTATTCGGCGCATGTACGGTACTGTATTTTTCTTGTTTTGAAGCACACAACAGGTGCTGCATGAAAGACAATTTTTGGGTATAATATTAAATTCTCTCAAAATCAGATGCGATCGACTACTCGAGACCTGGCGATCGACTGGCCAATCGACGTGTTGGCCACCCCTAACTTATACTATCACTTTATAGGCTTGATCATTATAAGTTAGATTAGCTATAAATAACGTGATTTTGTCGGTTCAAAACGAGTGTTTCAAACTTTCACGCATACATAACAAAATACGGGTTTATTATTTCTTAAAAAATCCGTGCATTATGTTCCCCAAATATTTCTTGATAAAACAATTGCTAACAATTCAGATACGAACCTGTATCACACTTAAATGAAACAATTTGCTGCGAAATGGTTTAGATTGCAGTGTGCTTAAATTAAATGGCGTCAACAGACCGATGTTATGCTTATGAACTTATGAGACATAATCAAAACGTTAGCTTGTTGTATTTGTGTTGTATTAGTTGCGCATATACACCTAACAGACGAAAACGTCATTGTTGTTTTTACAAATAAAAATATTGATAAAAATCAGCGACTAAAGTCATTCAAGGCCGCGGTGGCCGAGTGGCACCGACCAAATAATATTATCAAAGTCTATATGCCTACTATAGCTTAAAACGTTGCCGAGTGATTCAGTATAACTTATTATATTTGCCTAGTTATCTAGCGATTTCATCACACGAGTGGTGTTGAGATTGACTTATAATTAAAAATTTCTTATAATTTCATAATTTCACCTATTCATAAAACGGATGACTTCAACACAAATCTAAATAATAGCTATATTTTTCTCAGCAATTCAATGATCGGATTGCAAGTAAGTCGAGTGGCATAAAATTGAGTATGCAAAAACTATATAAAAACAATCCTATAATTTCCTAAATTACAATTGTATCCAGCAATTACGATTCACCTCCTCTCCACTTCCCACAATATTTGTGACTGTTAGCACCCATTGAATACGCTTCAATAGTTCAATAAAGTGAGTGTCTCCAGTTCAGAACAACTTTTACGACCTTCTATTTGAAAGATATTTGTATTGAAATGTTCTAGATTTTCCTGTAGCTTACCCATGTCTGTCTAATTATTTCTCAGGAATATCTGCATTAAATATACGCTTCGTGATGTTAGCTTGTTAACAATACAAAACGTGGATATTTTATACTCTTGGATTCAAACATTTTCTATGTGCAATGTTTCAGGCTAGCTGTTCGCAGTAATACTATGATACATAATCATTACGCCTCCTTGTTTTCTCATCTTATTACGCGTATTACTCATTTTCAGATGAAACCCACCTCTTGCTACATCATCAGGCCAATAAAAACATGTCATGCCCAATATAAGGTCGCGGCAGATCTGCTTTTACAAAAATGAGACATAATGCTTATGAAATGAGATTAGTAGCAAAATATGTTTGCAAAATATATATAATCCACCAAATATATCCTGTCGGTCAACTTTTTAAAAAATTGATACATAAATTTCTTTACTTTTTCTGGAAATTACATTTGTTTTTTTACTCAATGACAAAAATAGTCTCTGTCTTCAATGTTTTGGCAAGGCAGAATTTAGTTTGCATATCAAGTATGCTTTACAAATCGTGAGCAATGCGAAAATCCTAACTTTTGAATAGAATTGCTCTGAAAAGGCCCCAAAGTTTATTTCTTGGAATTCTCTAATTGGTTTTATACAAAGTAAATATCTTTTCATTTGTGGCGGTAGTTTTCCCAGCACATAGATTGATACCCTTTCCTTGATGTTTGCTACCAATAGATTCTGTTAAACCAGCGTTTCCCGAAGTGAGAGAAACAAATCATAACCTTTTTAAAGTCAATTCAACTTTTTGTGTGTGGGCGCTTGGTGTCACTGAGATATCTAATTGTACACTGCTAGAAAAAAAGGTCGGAAACACTGCATTGAACTTTCGTCATCAGTAAATTTATTTCTTAGCGAGAGCAAAATTCTACAAAATATATTTTACCCTAAAACGAGCAATGGCGACGCTATCAATTAAAAACTTGATAAATATATCTGGCTTGATGTTAATAAACTAGGTTACTCTTATTATAATGTTTTTTGAATTATTATTACTTATCATTTCATTATATTATGAATATCATTATATAATGAAATATATATATATATTTCATTATATTTTAAATAAGTAAGTGTCAAATGTTTGTAACAAATTATCAGGCGTCTGTGTAATGCTGCAAGCCGTCTAAAATGCTGTGACTGAATTGGTTTTTGCATGTGCATTAACAAAGAAGTTTCATTTAAACGGCACTGGAGCTGATTAGGACCCAACAATTGTGTACATACTCATTATCTCAACCCCAAAATAATGACCGATTATCTTATTATTGTCCAATTTCTCCCCATATTATTACAATAATTAGAACGAAATTATGTCATTCTGCTAGTATGAACATTGGTGGGTACATAGATTCATTCATGTTTTTCCTGTTTCCAAAACCTGCGGTCACCAGTCTTCAATTCACCTTGATAATCAATGTTGAGAATAGCAATGAAGATCAAATTTATTTTATTAGTTTACTATCAGCGTTTTGAAACAAATATGAAAACTCATGTCACTTAATAACGACACATGATATCGGAATCTCATTCAGTACAATATGATAGTTAGAAGGGATTTTAAATTATCGATCAAATCAATAAATCATAAAATATTTGATATGAATTTGAGAAGCAAAAAACATTCAAAATGAAGCAATTGTAGTAAATTACAAACGTATCCAACATAGCAGTTAGCATAAGCCCACCTAACTCTTAATGCTAGCACTTTTCTTAGTTATGAATGCATTAGTGAATTTATTTGGTTTAGTAAAATATTTCAAAGTTTTAAAATTTTCCTAAAAAAGGATTGAATATAGTTTTTGTTTCGAAAGCTAATTATTCTAAAATGTTCTGGAATTCTATATAACTTTCCCATGTCTGTCCAGTTATTTCTTTAAAATTTCGTGCTTTAAATATCTCAATCGTTTCATACTGTTAGCTTGTTAACAATACAAAACGTGGACATTAAATATTATTGAATTAACATATAATTACAGTAAAATGTTTCAGACTAGCTGATTGCAGTGTGCGTAATAAAATTACTATGAATTATGATACATAACCATAACGACGCCTTGTTTTTCATTGCCCATTGCGAATATTACTCATATACACCCAACAGATGAAAACACTCCATTTTCTTCAATAACGAGTGAAATTGATAATAAAATAATATTAGCAGCAAAATATGTTGGCGAGAACCCAACACGATATTTGATGGATAAGCTCGTCAGACTTATTTAATATATATATGCATAATCATACATGAGATCAAAAACAGGGAAAAATAAATCTACTGCGAAATCCCGCTTCTTATCTTAAACCTCTATATAGGTGTTTGAATATATATGAGAATTTTATTTTGTGTGGTATCTATTGGTATTGTGTGTGTATATATATATTTAAAGTGACACTTATATGAAACCAAAGTCTTGAGTGCTT